TTTCCTTAGCAGTGAAGTTGCACAATGCAAATAAGGAGCTTAAATTTGTCAATGAAAATATGCCCTGGATTTATTAAATGACACGAGAATCTTGAGTGGAAGGACATTAAAGTTATCCCATGGTCAAAATCTTAAGCCGTCAAAGGATGATGGTAAGGTGATTTTTTATTCTTCGATTCAACTATGTATAGAAGGTTGTTCAAAGACTTATGTACCTAACTTTAACTAAACTAGATCTATCTTCAATGCAAATTTTTAGTTAGTTCATGGAGCAGCCGAAAGAATAACACCAAGGAGCAACCTATAGAGTCTTGAGAAATATCAAATATGCACCCAACCAAGGTCTCTTTTTCTCATGCAATTTGAAATTGTAGATCAATACTTATAATGATAATGATTGGGGAGCTTGCCAAAATACGCAAAGATTAACCATCGAATATTTTGGGTTTCTTGAATCCTTCTTAATCTTTTGGAAGTCAAAGAAACAACAAACTATCTTGTGGCCCTCTACGTAAGCATAATATCATACAATGACAAGCCTTTATTGTGAAATAACATGGTTAAGGTACCTGTTAAGTGACTTAGGTGTTAGAGTACCCACAAGCCACTATCATACATTATGATAGTAAGTGCAATTCACATTGTGGAAAATTTTGAATTCTATGAATGAACAGACACATCAGATTAGAATGCCATTTGATTATTGAGAATATTTAAAATGGAAGCATTGAGATAATACATGTTGGAAACAAACAAGAAGTTGCATATGTATTCACCAAGGCACTCCCAATTGGTATCCTTCACACTCATATGTCCAAGATGGGAGCAGAAAATGTCTCTTCATCTTGTAGGGGGATGCTAAAATGTAGGTTCGACCAACTTGAGAGGAATTCAGGTTAAAAAGTTGAGCAAATCTTCATTTGAAAACTATATAATGTGTATGTATATATGCATTTATAAGAGATTTTAGGGCAAACAGAAATAACTGTGTATTAAAGGAATACATGTGCCTCATTTTAAGTAAGATATAAATGTCATTTTCTTCGTAAGAGAGAGAATAAGATTTAAGAAAAACAAAACCTGATCTTTAGAGTTTTTTCTCGCTCTCTCTCTTTCTTGCTTCTCTTTTCTTCAGCTCTTTCCATCTATTCTTTTAAAAATCATCATAAAAGTTAGTTTACTTTATTAGAGAATAAACTATAATAAAAAATATCTTGAACTAAAGTGTAATATTCACTATACTTCAAAGATCATGTTAAACATTTACTCAAAAATTAATTATACAATTATCAGATAAGTTAAATGTATGAAAATTTTAGTAAAAACTAACCGAAATAATATCTACACAATTTAGATTGAGAGATAAAATAGTAAATTAATCTTAAAGCAGTGCTCTTCATGATCAAGTTTAAAAATTTTAAAAACAAATACAATTCTAAATTGATGTAATAATCAATAGTGTCATAAATAATGACATCTAAATAGTTTTTTAATATATAATTAAGACAAAATGATTTATTTATAAGGAAATAAAAAAGTATATACTTAATTAAAATAAATTAGAATTAAAATTAGAAAATAAATTAAAAGAACTAAGATTTAAAAACTATTTTATCATTACATAGTTTTAAATATAATTTTAATTAACATATCAATTTATTATTATTATTTATTAAATATAATGTAATATATAAAAATTTTATGCTAAATAAGAGTCAAAATTGATTGTTATTTAGTATATAAATCAAATATCGTATAAAGGAAAAATTTTAAGAAAGAAATGTAGTTCAAAAATAATTTGTTTAAAGAAGAAAATGACTCAAAAAAGGCAAAAAAAACTTATCTCTACCCCTTTTTTTTCTCTATTTTCTAAGCAACCAAACACAAAATCAATCCATGAATAAATAAAAAAGAGTTTTTGTGTTAGTATTCACGAACTTCTCTTTGGTGTCGATGTCTCATTCGAGAAGCCATCAAAATTTTTTCCTGTTAAGTTGCAAGAGAAAGAGCTCACATGTAGAGAGCGACAAAGGTTGGAGTAACAATAGAGGATGATGATTTATCAATGCAAGTAGATGATTTTTTTTATTGTCAATTTTCCTGTTGACTCAATTGGAAAGCCACCATTACCATTATAAACTTGATTAAATGAAGAGAGTAGATGGATATGAAAGCTAATTTGAAGAATTAAGACTAGAACATGGATATTTGGTTACTTAAAAAGTTAAAAATGAGATAGCAGGATAGAAAATTTAAATGTCTAGAGTACTTTGCTTCAAATCTTTTTGTTTCTCATTTGTTAAATTTTCAATATAAATTTGCATATTTTAAATCAGTAACAATAGGAAGAAGAAAAAAAAAAGAAAGAAAAATAAAGAAAAATAGACAAAAGCGTTGCTGCTGGAATATGTGAAAGAAGAGATGAAGAAAGTTTTTTGTTCTATCTAGTGTTTGGTATTCAAAATCTTTTTCCCAATTCACTCAGATGTTTCTTGGTTTGTCAATGACTTTATATCTTTTTTAAGTTTCTTTTCTACCAAAGAAAAAAAAAAGAACATGGTCTTTTTTTAATCAAAATTGACAATATATCATAATCCAACAAAAAATTACATGAACAAAAATATAAGATGGAAAGGGGTGTCAAAACGTGGGTCCAACTTACCCAAGAGGAATCATGGTTAAAATGGGATGTGGATCTTCATTTAAGAACTATGTAATGTATATCCATGTATATATATAGGAGATTTCAGGGTAGGGAGAAAATAATTATATGTATTAGATGTGTAATGCCTCATTTTATATATATATAAACATCATTTTTTCCTGTTAGAGAGAGAAGAAGATTCAAGATAAATAAAAACTAAGCCTATTAGGGTTTTTTCTCGTCTTTTTTTGTTTGATTTTGTCTCTTTTTTTCTTTCTTTCTCTCTTTATATCTCTCTCTCTTTTTGTTGCTTATCTTTTTTTCGGCTCTTTTCATTTGTCTTTTTTTTTTCACAAATCATTACAAAGGTCGATTTACCCTGTTTTGAGAAAACTTTCATGGTATCAAAGTAGATCATGAAGAATAAAAACTTAAATTAGATTGCAAACTCAACCTCTTGTCAAGATACAACTTCCTTGAATAGAAGTGCTCCTGATCTTTCTTATTGAAATAACTCATATTATATTGAAGCCAACAAAAATTCAGGCGCACTATTTATAACAAAGTTGATAGACACAAGCGACTATCACATATGGGCAAGATCGATGAAGGATGCACTAAGAATTAAAGCCAAACCAAGTTTTATCAATGAAAGCTTAAAGGAACTAACTAATCCTGAAAATCCATTTATAGAGCAATTGTTGTTTGCAACTATATTATCATTATATGATACAAGTGCTCTATTGGTTGACATCAAATATAGCAGGTTTTATGCAGACAATACATGTCAACTCTTGGTAGAACTCGAACAAAGGCATGTACAGCGAAACGCTCCTAGAATCTTTGAAGTAAAACAATCCATAGGCAAACTCATTCAGAATTAAGACAATGTAAGTCTCTTTGAAGTAAAACAGACACTCTCCCCAACTTTTAGTTGGACTCGAATAAAGATAAGTACAATAGAATTCTCCTACAATCTTTGAAGTAAAAAAGGCCATAAACAAACTCATGCAGAAATCAAGACAGCGTAAGTATTTATTTTTTAAAATTGAAAACCCTATTTGGTGGATTACTAAATTATCAATCAATCACAAATTGCACATGTGGAGGATTCAGAGCTGTAATCGAATATCAACAAAGAGACGGGTGATGAAATTTCTCATAGGACTGAATGAGCCATACCATGCCATCAAAGCACAATCCTACTCAAAATATTTTCCTAACTTAAATAAAATACATTTCATTGTCTAACAAAAAGAAAAATGTAAAGAAATCTGGTTGGACAACCCAAGAAACAAGACTTTAACTTTTAGCATTAGGGAATCAAATAAAACATTAAGAGGACCTAACACAAATGTGAGAAATATCACTGATGTGAGTAATAGAGGAAAGAGATGAAGATGGAAAGACAAAGTTAAGAAACTAGATAATTTTTTCTTTTCAAATGCAGCGTAAGTTAAATCTCTCTCTCTCTCTTCTCTCATTTGAATTATAGTGTTAACTATTCAAAACAAAATTATAAGTTTAAAAACTAAACTATAATTAAAAACATATCGAACTAAAGTGTAATATTTGTTATACTTCTAAGATCAAATTACGCATTTATTCAAAATTAATGACATAATTATCACATAAATTAAATTTCTAAAAAAACTTAATAAAAATTAAGTGACATAATATTTGCCCAGTTTATATTGAGGGATAAAAGAGTAAATTAAGCTTAAAGATGTGTTCTTTAGCGATCAAGTTTGATTATTTTAAAAATGAATATGATTTTAAATTTAATATATTAATCCATAATGTCATAAATAATAACATCTAAATATTTTTATTTTAAACATAAATTAAAATAGTGACTGATTTATAAGGAAATAAAAAAAGTATGTACTTAATTACAATAAATTATAATTAAAACTAGAAACTAAATTAAAAGAATTAAGACTTAAAATTAGAAACTAACATAAAAGAATTAAGATCTAAAAACTATTATACAATTAACTGGTTTTAAATAAAAGTTTAATTTACATATCAATTTATCATTATTATTTTTATTAAATACAACGTAATATATAAAAAAATTCTACTAAACAAGAGTCATAACTAACTAATATTGAAAAATAAAGACAATTATTAATTTAAAACTAATTAATTATGATATTGTGAATTTATAAATTAATGTAGAATTAATATATAGCGAATTTACCTTTTAAGTAGTGGATTTATTATTATTATTAATTTTCATGTGAATTTATATATTATTGTTATTATTATTGTTATTATCATAATTATTATTATTATTATTATTATTTAACTTATTGGTATAAAATTAAATTCAGAAATTCGAACGAAAGTTGATGAATCCGGAGTCAAGGACAAAACTTTTCTTCTTGAATGAGAACCGATTTCAGATGATGGAATTGATTTTTACAGTTTAGGACTACAGTGATCCTGAAACTCGAAAACAGCAGGATCATTATGATTGCTTATCCGACAGAAACCATGGAATTAAACTCCCCATAAATATCATCTCAGTTTCAGTCTGCAATGGCCACCCCCACCAGCAGCGGTAGCAGCAGTATCTTCGAGAAAGCAGAAGTTACAAGCAGCGGTCGCCCAGTTCTCCTACGAAACGAAGTTGAATGTCACCTGCTCTCTTCGGTGGACCTCGTCTCCGACGAAGAACCCCCTCTTTTTCCTCCTTATAGATCAGGGCTTCTCATCCTCACCACCCACCGCCTCCTATGGCTCCCGTCCCATCCAAACACCTCCGCCGTCGCCATTCCTCTATCCGCTATCTCCAACATCTTGTCTGTCAAGAAATCCCTCAAGTCCATGTTTCATTCCCCGCGGATCCGCTTCCAGCTTTACAATCGCCACACTAATACGATTGTTATGTTGATTCTGAGAGGGAAAGGCGATTCCGATGGATTCTTGGGGAAGTTCTGGGATAGTTGGAGGGGTAGGGCATGGGAGGAGAATCTGAGTGGAAGTTCGACTTCTGAGACTGGCTCCGGTTCGGTTTCCGGTTCAGGCGCGGGTTCGACTGGTGGTGGGTTGTACTCAAGTGATGGGTCTGTGAGGATGGTGGGGCTGGCAGGAATACTCAGGAAAGAGCAGGAAATGTGGGAGAGTACAGATAAGAGCTTGCAGGATGCTTTTCAGGACTTGAGTGCTCTCATGGGTTAGTTAATTCTGCTCTTGTTTTACCATCAATGTTATGATGGTGGTTATTATTCTTGTTTGCTCATATGATTGTGAAATGTAGTGAAACGTATTTAGTTAAACATATTTGGTTGCTGGTAGAAAGGTTTAAGGGGATTGATTTTGATTTGTGTTTGGAAGATTGCAAAATTAGAAACTTGGAATTGATTGATGCTGACTAAAATATGTTTGGGTTCTTGAGAGTTTGTAGCATGAATGATGATCCTCGTTATAAATGCAAAAATTCATCTATCAAATGGGAAAAAATTTTGGCTTTTGAATTTTGTTCTGGTGCTTGAAATTTTAGAAACTCTTTTGGACTGACAGAGTAAGGCTAAAGAGATGGTGCTGCTAGCAGAGAAAATGAGGCAAAAGCTTTTATCTGGACCGAACTCTCAAACCGGCACAACAAATGATGAGGAAATGGGTTCTAAGGAAGAGATGCAAGATTGGTTGTTAAGTGTTGGTATTGTGTCTCCAGTTACAAAGGAATCTGCTGGTGCACTGTATCATCAACAACTGTCCCGTCAGGTTCTCTTCTATATCCTTTCTCGTTACTAGTCTTTGTTTTATTATATTGTGTTCTTTATTATTTTTGTTCTTTCCCCCTTAAAGTTCCTTTCAGGAGAAAATGCAGTTGTGATATTTCCATTTGGAGAAAAAGGGATATCCAGAATTTGATTTCAATGTTTGTCATTATGTCATCTATTATTGAATAACCTGGTGGAATGACTTATTTTTCTTCTTTTTTTCTTTTTTCCCTATTTTTACTGTGAAAAAAGAAATCACATGTTGTCTTCCTTCATACATTTGCTGCTCTGACTCTTTCAA